CAATGTCTCACCCATACTGTTTATGACTCACACAGATCACCCATTCTTCTCACCCATACTTTTTATGACGCATACAGATCATTGCCTTTGTATAGTCTGTAAACACAAGTAAACATCATACTAGTATTTTTGTACTTTCAGCCAAGAACCACTGCTATCAGTTCCACATCCTCTTCTGAATCTGGCTTGAGTTACTGGCAGTCCACGTATGGCCGCAGCAAACACTTATGTGCATGTGAGTTTAATGCTAGTGTCTGATAATCTCTGCATTCTGTTGGGCACGCCATTTCTTTGGAATGGATAAAATATGGATCTCTTCCAGATCGTTTGTCAGGTAGCTGTCTTCCACATGTCTTGGCCTAAATGAGTAAATGCCTCCAGTTTTTTATCAACTTATCAAAAGTTTCAAGATCCTTTAATTGGGAGAAATGAGAAAATAAGAGTCACGGGGAGATCTGAATTGAAGGCTAGGAAATCCCTACATTTCTAATGACATGCTTTAATATTTCAGGTTTTGACTCTATAGAACTATAACCTAAAGGTCACTAACTTATTTGTAGAATGGATAGTTTAAATTGGACCCAGCTTGTTAGGCTCAGATAAAGGGCAATCAAATCCAGTCAATGGAGTTTCTTCAAATTTCTACTGAATGCTCACTGTATGTGAGAAATTCTAGGGGACAGAAAAATTAAGACATAATCTTGAACCATAAAATTATTATTGGTTAGTTGATTAATTAGGGTATTCATTTCAATTACTCATGCATCAATTAATTATAAAATATGATTTACCACTTTGTTATATGCCAAACAAGAAGCTCTGGTTGCATAGTGGTTACATGTTGGGCTGCTAACCATAAAGTCAGCAGTTCAAAACCACCAGACGCTCTATGGGAGAAAGATGGAGTTTTCTACTCCAGTAAGGAGTTATAAGCTCACTGGGGCAGTTCTACCCTGCCTTAAAGGCCATTGTGATTTGTTGTTGTTTGAGTTTATGCCAGGTGGAACTCAGCAATGAACAAGACCAACTTCCTGCCTGACCTCCAGGAGTTTACTGGCTGCAATAAGATATAGAAAAGCCAGCATGTCCGTGGGAGGCTGTCCAAGCTACCCGAAAATCACAGAGATGGGGATCTATCCCCATCTTGAAGAATCAAGAAAAGCTTCCAAAATGAAGTGAGGTTTAAGCTAAGCAGAGGTGAGCTGGGGGAGTCGACAGAGTCAATGTGCAAAGACCTAGACACAACAGCGTGTGCCAGCAAATGTGTAACAGCCAGCCGATTCGGGTGGGAGGAAGGAAGCACTCAAATGTGTAGATTTTGTCAAACTTCAGAATGAAAAAGTCACCAACCTGGTGTCGCTGAACACGAGACACAGGCAAGGTGGGTCGGGGGAAGAGCTGTGCACATCTGGGGAACCACGGCAATTGCAGAGCTGGGAGAGCCATTCCACAGGCAGGGCAGGAGAAGGAGTGGCAGCCAGTGGCAGCCAAGAAGGAGAGAGAAGGCTTGAAAATGGTTGTGAGCTGAAACTTTATCCTGAAATACACACAGCAGAAAACATCTTGCCATCCAGTTGATGTCAACTTACAGTGACCCTATAGGACAGGGTAGAATTGCCCCTGTGTGCATCTGAAACTGTAATTCTTCATGGGAGTAGAAAGCCCCATCATTTTCCAACAAGCAGCTGATGGTTTCGAACTGCTGACCTTGCATTTAGAAATCCAATGTATAGACACTCCACTACCGGGGACCTTGAACTGCACAAGGGAAAGTCAAAAAGGATTGCTTCTCGGGTTCTGGTTCCTACATGCATGGATTTATTCTGAACAAAACGTGTTTCAATGTGGCCCTGCTATTTGTGGGTGACTGCATGCAAGTTCTCTTAGTAATACACTTGTCTTTGTCTCATTAGTGCCCAAGAGAAAGGTCCAGTTAAAACAGTGGTTGCCAAGGGGCTCTGCTGCACCAGTTCGATTCAAGGCAGAGAGATCATCTCAGAAGGGTATGGAGACTGTATTTGGAGGAGGATAGAAAGGGGTAATTTTGATAGATTTTTTTTTTCCTAAGGACACATGAAATTGTTCAGGCTATTAAGAAGACATTTTAAGAAAATTGAAAACTGTACTGGTGAGAAAAAAGTCAGGAACATTGCAATGAAGATCCTTTTCTTTCACAACAATGCACCTTCTCCTTCCTCCAAGGCTGTCCTATAAGAATTTTTGTTGGAAAACCTTATCCCACCCACCCTATAGCCCTGGTCTTGCCCCTTCAGATCTCGTTTTGTTCCCAAGTGTGAAGAAGTCCCTCAAGATGTGAAGACTGATATTTTAAGGTGGTGTGAACCAAGTACACAGAATCTCCAGGGAAAGAGAAGGGTTAAAGAGATGGCAACACCACCTTCCCACTTGGGCGTATAGACCTACACGGAGACTATAGCAAGAAACAATAGCTAAAGCTAAAGCTATTGTTTCTTGACATGGTCTCCGTGTAGGTGTAGACATTTTGATATTTTTGTTTAATAAAGGTTGCTATTCTTTGGTAGTGATACTTTTTGACTTACCCCTGAAAGTCACTGACCGGTTTCAAAGAATGGAGTGCCACTGTCAGATTTGTAGATAGATTTCTGACTGCAAGGTGGAAAGCACGCAAAAGTGAGAGCAGGGATTGGGAACGATCTGTGTCAGTGTGTGCGTGTTGTATGGGAAGGTCGGGGGAAGCAGCTATGAGGCTATCAAAGGTATTCTGCTTCTAGGGCAGATCACAGACCATCGCTCCTGACATAACAATTAGAAAATAAAATGAATGGAGTAAAACTCGTGTTCTTAAAGACATCACAAAACTGTGGGCACACACACCCAAAAGGCTAAGGGATCCACATTCCAGAGAGAAACAGCCCTTCCTGGGTGAACCTAGAGTTATTTGCTGAGTTAAGTCAGGAGGGGCCTGGGCCCAGACAGACTCTGTTAGGGTGAGAAGAAACCCCCTGGGACTTTGAATGATCTTGTGGGCTGGAAACGCAGCTTAAAATCGATAGAAACTCCAGCACAGAGCTAGTTCCTGTGTCTGCTGATTTCCCCCATGGGAATTTTTCTAAGCGTGCTGCTGTGCTAGAGACTGGGGCTGAGCCAAAAATAAAAGGAGGCGAAGACCTCAATGACCTTTTGGTACTTAAAAGTTCGAAGTCCTGCTAGATGAAGAAAAATAGAAACTATCCGGAAAAGGAGAAATGAAAGCTCCTGGGCTTTTGCATGGAAAGACTAAACAGAAAGGAGGAGTGACAGAAGGGCAGAGCCTTTAAGGAGGCAGGCAGCCTGTGGAGCGAAAGGGCCTGGCTCCAAGTCTCGGCGTAAATGCTCCCTGTCTGTGTTAACTTACCTCCTCGGTGCGTCGGTTGTTGCCGGTAAAAGGAGGCTTATGGTACTGACTATTTCATACAGTGATTAAAAGCTTTAAATGGGCGAATACCCATAAAGCAGCTGGAACACAGTAATATTTGCTGTTATCGCTCGCCTTTCCCTACTTGGGAAGCAGGATTTGATCTGTTTTCTTCCCAGCTGTATGTATTGGGTTGCTAGCAGAAAGGTCAGCAGTTCAAACCCACCAGCATCTCCACAGGAGCTAGACAAGGCTTTCTACTCCCGTACAGAGCTAGTCTCAGAAACCCACAGTAGCAGTTCCACCCTGCCCTATAGGATCACAATGAGTGTGAACTGACTCGATGACTGAGCTATGGGTTTGAAAGAACACCGCACATCACAGTGAGCGCTCCCCAGAAATGCTTGATATCACTGTAATTTAAAAAATGAGATCCTCATGTGAAATGAATGCCTGGCATATAATCTTGGAGAAAATTCTTTATCTTTTCATTCCGTTTTCCCACAACCCTTTGGAAGCAAATATCTATGTTTGTTCATAATTCGCAAAAGGCCACCATACATTTTATTTACTTATCGCCAGCAATACTTCTGAAAGAACTTGGCATGCCCCTGCAAAATAAACTGATCCCACCCACTGCCAGCAAGTCCACCCTGATTCACAGAGACCCTCTAGGGTTGGATAGAGCGTTTCCTTCGGCTTTCCTGGGCTGCTCTCTTTACAGGGACAGAAAGCCTCGTCTCGCTCCTTTGGAGCAGCTGGCAGGTTCAAACTGCTGGCCTTGCCGTTTGTTAGCAGCCTGACTCGTAATCCAGCATGCCACCAGACACCTTCAGGAGGTTTTTAATGCAGCTTCACCTTAAACTTTACCTATATCATCCTCCAAGTAATATTGATCTTAGGTTAGAAGAAAACGTTGAAACACTGAAAATCATCTAATGTATTTATTATAGAGTTCACCAATTTCCCCCCTTTCCTCTGTTTTCTTGAATTTTTTTCAATCCTTCATTTTTCACACCAGCATTTCCCCCGTAATAGGTTCATCTGCTCTCAGGAAGGGGAAAGAAAGGACAGTAAATAGTCCACCAGTTGCATGGCATTGAATAGCTAGCTTAATGCTACCTTGTACCCACGAGATTTTCATGCAGTAGTTCTGGCCACTCTGAAACTTGGGGGGGTGGGGGGTGGAATCACTTAATAATCTGCCTTATGAGCAATTCATAACCCTCAGGGAAGAGGAAGCAAAAAAAATGTACAATGCACCTATGAGTCATCCTTAAAAAAAAACCCTGGTACTTTCTTTAATAAGCTACTGTGATGGGGACAATGTTTAATTCCATACAAGATCTGAGACCTGTTATCACTTGGTAGATTGAGTAACCCTTGGAGACCAAGGCTAGACAGCCTGGAAACAGCTTCCAGACCAATCAACTGCCTGGAAACACTTCCTGGACCAATCAACCACCTAGAAACAGTCCTTGGACCAATCAGCTGTTTTCTAAGAACTATTGCTCCTACAATCTGCCACTGCTGCCTTGCAAACCAAAACAAGAGAAATAAAAGATACCTGAATTATCTCTCCCCGGTCCTCACGTGTCCCAGTCCATCTCTGGCCTATTGCATAGCACCTCCAACTCTGTGCCCCTTGATGGAATTCATTCTGAGCTGAATAATTTCTTAGCCACGTCGTATCCTTTGTGGAATAAGGTAAGGAAGAAATCAATGTATTTAAATAGCTATCATGTTGTACATTGTAATTGTTCTGATGTTGCTTTATGTGAGGACAGTTTCAGTTTCTCACTAGATGGTCTTAAACCTTGGCTGCACATTATTATCACTCCAGGGACTTTTTAAAAATCCCAATGCCCAGGCCACCCCAGACCAATTAAATAAGACTTTCGGCCATCAGCGTTTTGTAAAGCTCTCCAGATGATGCTAGTGTGCAGCTAGAGTTGAAAAACCACTGCTTGACTAGGTCTGGAGGGGATTGGAATGTCAGCAAAGACCAGACAATTTCATGTATGTTTCTTCTCTCACCCCATGCTACCTGGAACAGGTTTTCTGTCCAGACCAGAGGAACGAATGATAGTCAATATGAAGGCAGTTCCAGGAAGGAACCCAGGGTTGGAGTCAGATCAAGATTACGTCACCCTGTGAGATCAGGAAAAGAAAATGGAGTCGTGTTAAAATCTTTCAGGGGACTCAGATCTGCGCTTGTCATCCAATTCTATCACCATCTAACTCTCTGTCCCCAAATGAATTCACTGTAAAATGGAGGAGTAGAACAATTTGGGAGGGGATGGTGAGGAGAAAATTAAGTAGTGTAGGTAAAGCATTTAGCTTGGCCCTTGGTATATGCTTCAGAAATAACAAATAGTTATTAATAATAAGAATCAACACCAAATCTTTCTGGGGAGGGTTGTAAATATGTAGTGAGTGGAGGGGTGGTATTAGGAAATAATCTGCAATGACAGCATTCCAAGTGTGTCCTCGGGCCAGTGATTGAATTAAAGAGACGTAGTCTCATCAGTCCTGCAAGGTGAACATTTAAATAGCATGATAGCAATACAGGGTCCTTGCGTACGCAGTCTAAGGTGATGGGAGGAGGTGGGGTGGAGAAACGGTGCTGTGAAGATAAGTGGGGCTGGCGTAGAGGTGGGAGGAGCCTGGTGCATCTCCACCACTGTGTGGAAGAGAGAACATACCTCCATGGCTGGAGCTTTTGTCGCAGCTGTGGCAGCTCTCCAGGCTTGCTGGAATGATAAAAAGAAAGAAACTGTGTTGTTACTCCAGCTGCAACTTGACCCTCTGGGTTCAATGGGCCCATTCAGGCACAGCCTTACCGAGTTCCAAGGCCTCCTGGCTCTGAGAGTTGTGTACACACGTAGTACCTGTCCCTCCCTTCCAGGCTAGCAGTCTCACAAATACTAGTATGAGTTATTGGCCATATATTTGGAATTAATAATTTCTCCCACTTTGAAGGCCCCTCGGCATGATGAATTGACACAATAGGTTCGAATATAACAAGTGTGCGAAGGGCGCAGGACTGGCCAGTGTTTCGTGCTGCTGTGCCTAGGGTGACTCTGAACTGGCGCTGACTCGATGGCACCGAGCAACAGCCACATCCTGTTGTGAAGGCATGGGGGAGCTAGATGCACTTTAAAGCAAAGGGCCATTTTTATGATACAATATAGAATATAAAGCATAATTTAATGAATTCAAGCTATTTGCTAGGTGATGCACTAATGTCCTTAATGTTGCTGAAACATGAGCACGTTTTTAAGGAACCCTTAAGGTGTAGTGGTTAACCGTTAGGCTGCGATCCTCATGGTGGCCAGTTCGAAATCACCAGCAGCTCCGAGGGAGAAAGTCTGTGCGCTCTACTCCCATTAACAGAGTGTGGACAACCCACAGGAGGTCGCTATGAATCAGCATTGACCAGAGGGCAGTGAGCAAGGAGTGGCGTAGTGGCTACGCAGTGGAGGAGCTCTGGTGGCGTAGCAGTTGTATGTTGGGCTGCAGAACTGCAAGGTCAGGAATTCAAACCCACCAGCCAGCTCTGCAGGAGGGAAAAAAACCAGACTTTCTACGCCCGTGAAGGGTGACAGTAGAGGTGGTTCTACTCTGCTCTAAAGGGTCACTATGAGTCGGCAGCGACTCGATGGCCGTGAGTTTGAGCAGTGCCGTGGATAGGGCACTGGACTGCTAACTGCAAAGTTGGCAGTTCAAACCTATCAGCCACTCCTCAGGAGAAAGAGGAGGCTGCCAGCTCCCATAAAGATTCCCCGGCTCCGCAGTCCTGTGGAGCAGTTCCACTCTGACCTACAGGATCCCTCTGAGTCGGAATCACCTGGATGGCAGGAGGTTTGGCTTGACTGAGTTAACATGTTCTCCTTAATAGACCGTACCCTGGGTTTGAGACAGCTAGAGTAGCAATCCCAGGTGCATAATCTCCTTCAGCTGTAATGCAGATGTGGACAGCCAGTTGTTTCAATCCCATTTACAGACACGACTGTTCTTTTCCCTAGTGAGTTTCCCTGGCACCTACATTGAAAATCAATTAACCAGATATGTATGGGCCTATTTCTAAACGCTATTTTCTTTCATTTGTCTATTTATCCCAATATCATCGTCTTGATAGCGGTAGCTTTATACCAATTCTGGAAATCAGATAGCGAAGACTTCCAACTTATCTCTTTAAAGGTTACTTGAACTATTCTAGATCCTTTGGAATTTTGCATGTGATGGGAATTCCAAAAGTCCATGGAAAAATGAAATTTGATGAAATCTTTCCACAAACGTTTTGAAACCCCCTCATAACATTTACTGTCCACTTGCCATTTTCTGGAAGAAGCAGGGAAGCCTGCTACGATTCCGATTGAGATGTCAATTTGTAGAGAATTGACTTGTTGGTGGTATTGTGATTTCCAATTCATATAAGGCTTTATTAGTGTAGATGCTTAACTTTCTTCTGTCATACTTTGTATTTTAAGTGTATTTCTTTACATTTTAATATTGTGTTATGTCATATGAAAGTTTACCGTACTTTCCTTAGCAAATTAGTTTCCCATTTAACAATTTACACCAATTATTCCATGACATTGGTTGCTATCCCCACAAGGTGTGTCAGTCTGGGTAGACTAGAGAAACAAATTCCTAGCCACTCATCTGTGTATAGGAAAGAGCTGTATATACAAGAGCAATTGAATATTGAGAAAACATCCCAGCCCAGTCCAGATCAAGTCCGTAAATCCGATATCAGCCCATATGTCTGATACCAATCTACAAACTCCTCTTCAGACTCACGGAACACATGCAATGACGCTGAATACAGGACAATCACAGGCCAGTGGGTGGGAAGAAATGTGGATCCCATGGCATTGTAAGCATCTCAGCGCTGGCAGGGATCTGCACGTGGCTTCTCCAACTTGGGGCACTAGCCCTAGTTCCAAGTGTCTTGTCAGCTGCTATGTCTCCCAGGGAGTGAGCCGAAAGAGAGAGAGAGAGAGAGTCTCCCACCTCCAAGGAGGAATATAGAAGTTCCCAGAATCCTCAGGAGAAGGCCATGCCCACACAGAGGCTTCATTGGCTATATCCCGATTGACAAACCAGACACCACCCCTTCATAATCCTCTCAAATTGACAACAGATTATATAACTACCACATAAGGTACCAGCACTTTCTCCATTCCCACCTTGCCTTCTCTGATCGCATCCCTGCACTTCCCCACCCCTTCCTTGTCTGCTCATATTTGCTCTTGGGGAGATACTGCCGGCTTAGTCTCATAGGGCTGATTGTTCTAAATGCGACATTCCTCATGGGTGTTATTATTCATTTGATAAATAAGCCAATCTACAAGTATTATTTGACTGAAAAGTAACTTCAGGGAGCAGCTTCAGCTCCAAGGTAAAGGGTGTCTTAGACAGGAACGATCCTGCGAGTGCTTTCAGTCTCTATCAGTCCAGTAAATCTGATCTCTAGGGAAGAAAACCCCACTTTGTAGTGTGAGTGGAATGAAGGTTGACAGAGTGGATCAGTTTTCCATTCCTGAATTCATACGCATTTTGCTTCATCTCCCTGCTTGCCGTCCCTACAGTGTTACATCACTTTCCTCCCTGCGTTTTCTGGTTTTGTTCCTCATTCTTTTCACACCCTTCTGAACTTGGCTCTTCAATAAATGCTGCCTGCGTAAGCCAGGGTCGACTAGAGAACAAATCCAGAGACACTCATCTATGTATAAGAAAGAGCTTTATGTCAAAGAGCAATTGTATATTAAGAAAACATCCCAGTCCAGTCCAGATCAAGTCTATAAGTCCAATATTAGCTCCTATGTCCGATACTAGTCCATAAATTCCTTTTTAGACTCACACAGCACATGCAATGATCCAGAATGCAGGAAGATCACAAGCAAGAGGGTGAACAATCTTGTGGATCCATCCAGTGGTGGTGGAAGCCTCTCAGCGCTGGCATGGGTCTCTACCTGGCTTGTCAACAGGAGGGTGAAGCAGTAAGAGAGAGAGAGAGACTCTCTTCTGATGGCAGAATCAAGAGAGAGGAAGCTCCCAGAATCCCTGTGAGAAGGCCATGCACACAAGTAGGCATCATCAGGCTGCGACCTGATTGACAGGCTAGACCACCCCTTCACTCTTTTTTTTTTCTCTTTTATTCAAAAAGAAACTTTTCCCCTTCACACTTATACCCTTAAGGTGACACGAGATTTTTTATCTCAAATGGTTGATCATTTTAAAGTGTCCAGGGTTGACCGACTTTGAGCCAAAGGCCGGTGTCTTTACAAACGGGAAGAGTGACTAAAGGCCAGCGTCTTGAGGGTCCGGCCAGTCATTTGACTCGTAAGCCTGGCCTTTTTCAGGATTTTGAGTTTTGTTTTACATTTTTCTCCCATTTTTTCCAGGAGCTGCTGTATGACCCCTTTTAGAGCAGTTAGCAGTGGTAGCTGGGCACCTTCTAGTTCTTCTGGGCCAGAGTCAGAGAGACTGGTGTCGCATGATCCGTTAATTCACTGGACGAATCGTTTCCATGCATCTTTCCTTTTCTTTTCTCTGGATAGGGAGAGACTAGGAGTTGCTCGTGAGCGTCTAAGACCCCAGTCACAGCTTATCCACGTAGGATGTAGAACATTGTCTTTGTGAATTATGGTGTGCCAATGGAAGGCTGGTCTTTTTATGAATTTGAATTGTGTTCTACA